CTGCAGTCGGTGCATGGTGGGCCAATTGTATCACTGTTTCTGTGTGTCATGATAGATCTAAATTGAGCGGCGGCGGCTGGCCTAAGGGCCGGAGCGCAATAGCGCTCGCCGCCGCATGGCTCCCCATGCACTGGGGGCCTGCCCTCTGGGAGCCAGCAGGCAGGAAGTTAGCCAGCCCGAAGACTGGCGCTACCCGTCCGCGGCTCCCTGTGCGCCAGAAGCCCTCCTTCCAGGGAACGACCAGGAGAAGAAGGTTCTTATGGGGGGCCAAAGTGTGATTTATTGAGGGACTCATAGAACCATGTCTTTGGTGGCAGCAGGACAGGTGGATTCCTGCACCACAAGGCAGGAAGAAGGGATCTATACACCAAACTAGACAAAGGTAGGTTCAGCTAATGGAATGTATTTTAATTTTTCTCACAAACTATGAACAGGCCCAATGTCAGTTAAGAAACAGTTGACACCAGTGGCTGGCATAGGGGACTGGGGATGTGTGTCGTGGTCACTTGTTGGGCAAAGTATCAGTTATGACCAAGCTGATGGTAGTCAAGTCAAGCTTGGTCCTTATACCATCACTTTGTCTTCTGTCAAGCACCACAGGGAGAGCCCCCACCCAGTGACCTCCTTGATCGTTAAGGGGCCCTGCCACTCCTTGGGCTGTCTTCACATGGTGGGACAAGGGAGCTGACCACAGCTCCCCACCTGTGTCACCTCTGCACTTGAGGCAGCCAAGGACGATCCTGGAACTAAAAGTTGCGGAAAGTGATTCCCTATGTGGTCTTTGCATGCTGGGAATATCTTCTGGTTCCTTCTAGGAAACTTGGAGTCCTGTGCATCTCAGTAGTCTCCTGTTCTGGGAATCAGTTGAAGTGGGGGGAGTCCCTGACAGCCAGCAAGGTACAGAATCATCTCCCCCAGGCAACGTTAATAGGAAAAAAATCTGAGAGGAATTAAAAACCACATCTTTGGGGCTGGGGATTTAGCTCAGCGGCACAGCACCTGCCTGGCAAGTGCAAGGTCGTAAGTTTGATTCCTGGTACCGGGGAAAAAAAGAAAAGAAAAAAAAATAAAAACCACATCTTTGTTTCCCTCATGCCTAGCACAGAACCTAATTTGGCTTCTGAGAAATGCATGCTTGGCCCAGACT